TTACGCGATGGAGTAACATTCCCATTGCCCGATGGAGATGTTGATGCAATTTATGAACGTTTCTTCCATCTTGAGCTACTTTCTTTGGTAATGAGAATAGAGCAGAGAACCGTGCCAGTATTTATACTTCCTCTAATTGTAATTTGTGTTGGAAGAATTAAATACGCGGGTGGTGGATTTCTGTTCCGAACGATTCGATTACGAAACTTTGATTCTAAGATACATGATACATGGTAATAGTTCGCAATAGACATAAACATATGTAATAATAGGAATCGTCAATCAATGGGGAGATGTATTCAGTCATATAGTCAACGTAATCGTCGGAATAATCCCGCGTTTGTTAAAATCGCGGAAATTCTCATTATCGAGGGTTTCCATCGGACAGCGGAATTTCTGGTAAATCTCCAGAGAATTCATCCGTCATTAGCTTGAACAGAGGGGGAGCAGGAAGGTCGGTATCTCGATGGTTGGCTTCCCGCCGTCGGAGGGTGTCAGCGAGGAAAAGCGGGCGAAGAATGCGGGCGGGAAATGACCGGGCCTAAACCCGGTCGGGGGATGAAGCACGACGAAGAGGTGTTTTCTTTGGATTTACGTGACACCATGTGCACTCGGCTCTCCGATATACCCGCGCAGATCGAAGCAGAGGTTCCATTCCGCGGTATGTTCGACCGCCCCCCAAGAATGTGGGCCCTCGTCCCGACAACGGTCTCGCCCTCCCGTTCCCACCCCGACCATCCTGGCCGCCTTTTCCACCCTCCCGGTGCCCCTTCCGCCCTCGGCTCTACCCCACATCCCTTGTCTCCCTCCGTCCGCCACCCCGGACTCTTCCTTCCCCTCCGTTGAATGGGTTCGCGCGACACTCCATACCCAATTCAAACCGACCCACCCCCGAGCCGAGCGAACCCGAGGCGGTTCACCCCTTTGCTGGGTGCGGCCACCCCCCCGTCCCTCCCAGCCGGTACTTACTCGGCTACTCCAGGCTGCTCAACGCGGCCGCACTTTGTTCGAGAGTAGACGCGGCACGGGACAAGCGAAGACGGTAACGGGGTCCTCTCCGAAGTGGTGGCCCCGGAATTGCTAGCGTGCTGGCTATTGCGGCATCCGTCGATGGAGGGGCTGCGGCGCAGGAGCGCGGGTCGCTGCCGATCGATAATCGGGGTTAATAAATGTATAATTGGTCCCGGACGGATAGCCGCGGAATTTGGTACAGCGTCCGTCCCGGGCCTCGAGGGAACCGTCGATGCCGACCGGTCGCTCCCTTCCGAGCCGATGGGGCGTGGGGGTGCGCTCGGGCGAGAGCGCTCCCGGTCGCCGGCCTTTTGACAAATGGCCTCGTATTAAACACCTTAGACCCCGTCAGGATGCCGTGCCACCGGCTTGAGTAATAACCTTGCGCGGTCACGCTCCGTGGGGAATTTCATTCTAATAAGGTCAGCTTTCGACGTACCGAAAGCCAGCTCCCCGAGGCCGAGGGCCACGGGGCCGAGGAGAGAGAGTGGATGATCCTTGGCGGAGTCTAACGAGGCCCCGGCATCGACGAGGGTACCTAGATTCTTTGCGTCCCCGGTCGACCTCCTTAGTCTCGCCCGCTTAGTGGTGCTCGGTCTCTGGGGAACGTCCGATGACCTGTCCCGTAGTACCATATTTTCAACGGCGTTCTCGCGAATAATGTTTCTTCCCCTTCGGACGTCATCCCACGTCCGGAGTTGTCACGAGGAGATAACGGTCGCGATCCTCTCGTGATGTTCTCGATACCTGCTGGAGCCGAACGTGCAACGTGTCTCCGGGTATCGCTGCCTTCGGAAATATCCAGATCAAGATTTATCGTAGTTTATTGCGGTCCACTTCTGTCACACTTCTGCGTCACGTGCATAATAGACCGAGAGGAAAACCTTTCGCGATGCTTGATATGCCGACTGCTCAACAAAGCCTAACCCCATCGGCAAGGATACGGTTAGACGTCATCGTCGTGATCTTCACCTTCTACCCAGTCTCTTTGATTCCGAGCCCATTGTCATCCGTTGACGTCCACCCAGGAAATATCAGAAATCTTGTTGAGATCTGTCTGGGCCCATTTGCATCTCCATTCTTACCTAAGTTTGTTCAAAGAAGATAACTCTAAGGTTGATAACCTGCATTCGGAACGGCACTGCCCATGGCGGTGCCTCCCGACGATACTTCTGATCGCGTTAATATCGCGGTAAACCGGGAATATGCAAATTGCTGGTCTGGACCAAAGAGGAAGATTCGTCACGCCTCTTTAGTGTCGTCGGCCGAGCGGAAGAGCTCTAGCTGGCAGAAAGGACGCAGCTACGAAGTGCCCCACCATGGCCCACTCCGATACCTTTGCAGAATATTGTAACTTAGCGATAAGAATCATGCTTCTTCCGATCTTTGATGCCACGATGCATGCTTCCAATACCCCAACACCCCAAACGGTTCCATGTTTCGTTCCAAAAGAGATGACGCCAATTTATTCATATGTCATATTTGTTTCTTCTTTCAAAAGTATACAAAAGAAAGGAACATGAAACATGATCAACACCATGGCCCTGTGCATTCTATCTGTCCGCTAGAATAGCTCAAATGGTCGTCTTTTTAATATAATACGTTAACGAAGGAGCGTAATTATGGTGTTCACGAAAGGAAATTAAGTTTAGACTATGTTATTGAGAATGGAGCGACGAATCCTATTTAATTTAGCGTTTTATAAAGTTAAACATAGAGGAAAGAATATATGTCTTGTTCATAGTGTACATTTTGTTATTGTGTGATATTTTCATATACCATAAAAACATTCAGCCTACCAAGTGATATTAATTTTTAACTCAGAGGGAGCGGTACGTGGTACCCTTGGATGTGGTCACGATCACGACCTTTATCTCCAACATCAGGTATGATATTATAAAAACGATGGATTTTATTACAGCGAAATATTCTCTGAACTGGGAAATAGGAAATCGCCTCTTTTAAGTTATTCATATTTCGTTGCGACAGGAATCCTACGACGGGGGTGCAAGAAAGTGAGTTGTGTTTGCGCTCAGTTGGCACCGAAGCCGAACCGACGCGTTATGTCCATATTTCGGGGTTTATTACGCGAATTTCGAGGAAAGGAAAAATATCGGTTCCGCGTCTTGGGGTAAGCGTGCCACGTGAGTGATAGCGCCCGTTACCCGAGATGGTGCCAAGTGGATGCGAGATTGGGAAAGCTCGAGTCTCCTGCCTCACCAAAGAGTAGACTGTGCGATAACGTGCGAGATCGCTCCCAAGGTAATGGATGATCCGTAATGGCGGGCTCTCGACGGTGCACCGAGCGATAAGAACTCCTGGTGCGTACCTGCGATAATAACGCACGTACCTGTACGCCTCTGTGTACGCAGGGGCTAAATGGCAGTCGTTAACGACGTACTGCCACGATTCAAAGGATACTCTCAGCCGAGGATCTACGTCCATCGAGCTCTTAGATCCCTCGGCGTTCTCGGAAATAGTCGCAGCTAACATCCCACGGGAGAGATCACATTTCTCCTGCCTGCGATAAGGATTTTTCACCCCCACGCGATTGTCGGTAATTAGATAACGGATCGTCCGACGGCTTTCCACATTGCGGACAAGCGTCGAACCGGCGATCGGTCGAAGAAGAGAGGAAAGTTGTCAGGACGTCTTACCTTTCTTAACTCAAGAGTCTAACCAGTGAGTGTCGTGATTTAGTTTCGACCTAGGATCCAATACGAACCATTGTAAATAGAAGCGTTACTAAAGGAAAACCTTCTGAAAATGTCATTGAAATAGGAAGCATTACCGCGTCAGATCTACGAACCATCCCCTTGCAAGTGCACTTTTATTTTTCACAATTATTATCATCTACCGATCTAGAAAGAGGTTTATGTAGTTATTAGGTTCGGACTGAGACCCAATGGATGTTCCAATTCTCTTATGAATTGTTTTTAACAACTGTATCGTATCCATGATGTTTAACAAACATCAATTGTATCATGATATCTGGAGGATACAATATGAAGGAATCGTTGATACTTTTCTCGGGTAACTTACCTATTTTCGTGGTCAAGAAATTCGAGGTACTCTCCTTTCATCGGCACCGGATCGAATCGGTAATCCCGCGTCCACCTCTCCCTATGACGGTAGTCGTGTCATCGGCTTGACGGAGCCGCGTCGTCGTAATAAGAGCAAAGCGGTGGGACTTACGGCCTGCTTCTTCGCCGCTCATTCTCGGTAAGTGCATTAAAATAATTTGCGGGCCCGCGATTATTGCAGAGCCCAGCCGAGGGCGCAAGAAAGGACTTATCGTGACTGGGTTCGGTTCTTCCGCGGGGCGATCCGCGTCTCCGTCGCTCTCTCGCTGGACTCGCGCGCTCCGTCCTCCAGGAGCGAGGAAGCGTCTTAGCATCGTTACTTGCGGATTCGCCCGACGTTATGTGCCGGGCAAGATTCGCTCTCGCCGATGGAGTACATCGCTCTTCTTGCGAGTTGTCAGCTCGGGCGAGTGCGGCGCACGCGCGCGGCCACTTGCCGCACGGCCGGCCGCGGAACGGCCGCACTGATTGGCCGCAGCGGATTATCGGCCGGCATCGAACGGCCGGGATGTTCGTTAAGCCCGGCACGACGAACGAGATGTATCGGGAAAGTCAAGGGCGGCGTTCATGGCCGATTCTTGCAGGACGCCCCGAATCGAAATTGTAACCTTACTTTTAACCCGAGACCTCTTCTGGACCTATTCCATTGTTTAAGTCGTACTTCCGACCTCGTATATCCTACTAAATACGAATAGGCCTCCCAGGAGAAGAAATGGACATACCTGCTATTTCTAAGGTTCAAAGTAGGACTCGGATTGTATAGAAGTCCTCTCCGTTATTTCATAACCTATTTAGGACCTTCAATTCTAGGTTCTCGGTAGGACACAAATTTCGACTCGGAGCGCGGAAGGATAAAAGGGAGGATCCGCAGGAGGAAGTAACTCTCAGAGGCCGGGGCGTTAGAAAATGAGTTTATTTCTCTGTACCACATATACTATGTACAACGTTACGGTACTGACAAGTACGATGTTTGGCGCGAGAGACAACTCAATAGTAAAAAATTATATTTATCGTCGTTTTGAATTAATCGTTAAATTACATAGCAGTTTGTATGATTAAATTGATTAAAAGGGATGGTCAAGGGAAGCGGGGGTGGGGGCCTAAGGAACGGTAAGAACGGGAGGAACGGGGGAAGGGGCGAATCGGGGAGGAACGAAGGGGAATCGGGGGTGGAAGCTGGACGTGTGAGTATTACTACGGTAAAGGATACATGTAAATGTAAATAAATAAGCGACGTTGGTGCGGCGGAACGAGACTCGGTCGCCGGGTGAGCTCTGTACATGACGGCTGTCCGGATTAAGGGGCGATCTCGCCCCCTGGAGGTCCAGGAATCGCGGGGGGCCGAAAAACCTGCCGTTCGTCAGGGTACAGAGCAGACTCGAACTTCTCGAGTTTTCGGAACTGGCGCGCACCTCGGGCTCGAGGACAAGCACCGACGTCTAAACTCAGGCACTCCAGTAAAGTTAAGGTATAAACATGACATTCATTAGGAAGAGACGCAAGTATCCGTGCCCGTCGCCGGGGAGGAGCCCACGCGCGGGCCGTGTAGGCGATCGTCCTCGAGCCCAATATTATCATTATCGTAATATTATCCTTGCTGCTATCAACGTCCTCCCGTACGTCTCCGTCCGTTCCTGATACGTTCCCGTTCGCTACACCGAGGGAAATCGAGACTCGCCGAATCGGCCCGAGGGAACGGTCGCCGCGGGCTGCCCGCGGCGTCTTCCCCGCCGACTCGACTCGGCCGCATTTCCCTCGAAGTCCTCTCGCTCTCCTTGGGTCGACCCAGCGCTCGAGGAGGACGTATGGGGCGTTGAGACAACCGTCGCTATCGTATACGCGTAATGATTAACTGGATATGACCGACGCCAGTTTCCAAAGGGTTCCATCGGGCGCGGTCGCGGCGTCGTCGAGCGCCACGAGGGTCCGACGAACCCCGTGAAAAGTGTTCGGCGATTGCCCGGCGTACAAGGTGGCGCGACGGAGCTGGTCGGCCGAAGTCGCCCGTTTTGGGTCGCGACCGGAGGCCACCTCCGGGCCCCTTGTCGTGGGTCGCCATCGAGGCGATCGAGGCGATCGAGGCGATCGGAGCCATCGATGGCTCCGAGGTTCCGGGAGAGAGGCCGCGCGATCGTTCCCTGTAGGTCGCGGTCAGGTAAACCGGTCGTTGGAGGAGGAACCACGAGGTCGCTCGTTACGGGTCGCGTTCGAGGCGGCCGGTCGCGCCGGTCGCCTCGGGTCGCGACCCCGAAGATCGCCCAGACGCCGAGATCGGAACGCTCGGTTCGACGCTCGAGGAGAGAAGTCTCGAGGTCGATCGATGCGATCCCTGGAGCGAGCCGGCCGTAGGAAGCCTACTTCTTCCTTGGCCTTCGGGGAGGGCGACCTCGCTCGCGTCGGAAGGGGAACCTGCCCTTTCGGGGGTTCCCTTCGCGACGGTCCAGTTCGAACGGGGCGAACTTTGGCGCCACCCTGCATTTTCCGCGCATTCGAAAAGAATCTATATATGCATACGTATGTATATGAGTACGACGCGTCGCGCGCGTGCGGCATTTAAACGCACTGCTCTGTCCGCGCGTTATTGTCGAACTTGCATAATTGGCTCTACCCTCTCACCAGAAGCAGGTTGGATATACCGCAGCGTTAGCGAAATTAACTTTATCGTAACAACGGTTAATTGATAAATCATATGCGTCTCTTACTTTACGCGAGGACCTTCGTCTACGTGTCGCGGTGCGTGGCGTAATCGCGATGATGAGCAGGAAATCTATGGGCGCGCAAGGCGGGCGAAACGGTGGGCGAAAAGCACGGTGAAGGCCGTGAGTTACGCGTTCCTTTGTCCCCGTCGAAGCTTTCCCCTGACGGATCGAATTCCCGCATTTTTTTTTCCATATCAACCGTGCTCGATTGAAATTCGAATTATTGCTACTGTCCAGACTCCTCGCAGAGATGCGCGACGATTAATCCAATGACGCACGTGGCTCGCTGAAACTTCACCTCTGTGGACGAGATTTAGGGAGAATTTATCCCAGTATTCGAAACGTCTCGTTTGTCCCGCACTGTACCAGCTGGCTCTAAACAAATGGGCAATACCTGTTGGCGTACCGTCGGGTATTTCAATGCACGTAACTATCAAAGGTAGATTGAGTTACGTCCCTTTCCTGTGCCGTCCCTATCCCGTCCTATTGAATTACTATTTTAGTTTTTAAAAATTCTCCCATTATACAAAACATAAAACCTACCTTTAAATAAATATCCGTTGATACCGGTTATAATGAACATTTTTGGGCTCACGACATTAGCACTTACAGAAAGAAGGAAATTTTAATTTCACTTATTAGCATCGGAAGCACTCAATGAACTAAGGTATTAAAAAAAGGAAAAAGGACTAATTCGATGAGTCCATATCGACGGGTAAAATGCAATTTCGATTGCTCTTTGTAAATTTATTTCCCACGCTTCGGTGGGATTTCAATGGGTTATTCCCAACGTGACGTTCCGAGTCCTCGTTTAAATTTAGATTAAGCCGAATATCGCGTTTCCGTTCGCGGGAAATGGAGACAAACGCCTCGGCATTAGAGGGGACCCGGTTCGTTTGTCTTGACGAGTGTATTCTAATGTTCAAGTTTCTCAATTAATTCGATCCGCCCGATTCCGTTTACCCAGTCGTGATCGATAAAGCCTCGTCGCCCGCTAACCGATTTAAATTAATTCGACGTCTCTCGCGCCTTCGTTCCCGCTGCCCTCGGGACCTTTTGTCTCACCCTTTCCCTTAAGCGATCCGATTGCCGCCAAACGAAAAAAATCACTGATATCGGTTGTATCTGACACGTTCCGAGTAGCGGGAGATATCTGATCGGAAATGATAAAAAATACCAGCATCGCTTCAATTAAGAAGTGGTAAACTAGTCCCATCACTTACCTCGTTAATTGAGCGTAAACCGGTTTATAATTGATTGTTAATCGGCAAGTTAGTTCGGAAATAAATCCCGACGCTGAAACGGGATATTAAGTGCCTCGCGAGAAAAATGATATGGAAATCGGACATTAGACGGTCTTGATTTACCCGGGAAAAACGATCGCTAACGTTATCGGTTACGCGCAATTACGAAGGAGTGCTCGAAGAAACGCGGAGGGGAGAACACAGGTACGGGTCGTCTCCTCCCGAACGCCCAATTTCCTTGGAATTATTTGGTTTCCGCCCATGCAAGTGCCTGGGATTGGTCCCGTATGGTTATTACGGAGTTGGGCGGCGGAAATCGATTCCACGCGGTGGTCGGTCCACCAGAGGAGCGGGACGGATTGATAAGATCACGCGTGGAGACATAAATCAACATGCCCGACACGGGCATGCCTCGGCTAAGGTTAAGTCCGAGAGGGTGGAGGTTACTCGGCCCTCTACGGAGCCGGACCCTGATGTGCCCCAATGGCGCCCCTTCCGTTACCCTATCAAACCACCCTCGCGAGCTCAACTTAGCCGGAGACGCCACAAGAGGCAATTAACCTTCGCCAACCCCTTACGCGGCCGCACCCCACCGCGTCACCGTCGCCGCGTCCTCCACCGCTTCCACCGCCGCCTGCATCGCGCGGTCCCACTGATATCCCACTCCGAGCATCTGCATAATCACGCTCGATTCCCGATGCTAATTAGAATCCGCAGTACGTATAGGCAAATACGGGTCGACCTCCGTCACCTCCGGAGTCACGCCTCGCTCCGGAAGTAAGAGGGTCGGTTTACGTGGCTTGAGGTCGCACTTCCGGGGCCGTGTCCGACGTCCGACTTCCAACGGAAAGGGATCGAGGATCCGGGACGTCGCGCTCGCGCCGGGACGGCGATCGACGGCGATCCGAATCCGGATTCATGGGAGGTAATGAAAATTTACGACCGCGGGTAATTGTAATCCCCGTCATGGTCGGACGGCGGGCGCGGTGGCGCCCCGGGTCTGCGGACCAGGACACACCAGGACGCTGCCGCTTCTCTTCGCGAAGCACTTCGGCCTCTCCTAAGAGTCGTCCCGTAATCGACTCAACAAGACTACTTAAGAATTCTGGGAGCTCCGCAAGGTTTTCGGCTCTCCGACCCAACGGAAATGCACGTTCAAGAAGGACACGAGGCCACGAAGTGTACGACTATCTCTGGAGAGAAGTACCTTTATGGTAAGAGGCCGATCGGAACGTCGTAGTTCTAGGATGCACCAAATGAGCCGGCGAACTGTTGTCGAGTTTAAAGCGGTTACCTCAAATAATGAAGAATCATCACGACCCGTCTGCGAGGGACACGTGCATTTTTAGATCGGAGAGTCGCGAGGGTTTTCGATTGAACTTCCATGGGACCTCGATGGAATCGTCTCAAGGGAGCCCAGAAATCTCAGAGTTAAGCCGAAAACGAGAGACTTTCTTCTTGCCAGAACTGTCCCGCGGATCGGCTCGAGACATCGGATATCCGATCCGCGGTAATTTGACATCATTTACGATGACACGGCTTTGTTGGGCCGTGGTTTTACTCCAACGGCTTTCGAGCTCACATCGGCGGTCCTCGTTTCGAGATCGCGGAGTGGCCGTGGCCAGGTCTCTATAACCGACTGACCCGTTCGTCGAAAGGAGGTCCGAGGAGCGTCGCGAGCGATGGGAGAAGCGCCAGGTGCTGAAAAGATCGGCCAGGGCGAGCTTCCCGCCCGCGCAGGGCCGGTCGGGACTTCGTCGGACGAGGAGCGCGACCGTCGTTGCGAGGGTCGCACTCTCCGTGCAACCGAGGTCGGGGCGTTTCGGTCGAGGGTCGGACCGCTCGACCGTTTGGACTTGGCAGCGGCAGGGCGCGATGCCTCCTCGCGTTCATGAGCGCCAGGAAGGGAGCGAGACGTCGCCAAGGATGCGCGAGACGAGCGCTAGGAGGCGATCGGCCGACCCCCGGTAGGTCTGGCCGTGATGTCGCGTCCACCATCGCGGGGTGGGCAGGGCCCAAGGGTGCCCCGCGGATAGTGCAATGGTCGGATAAGAAGGGCGCCGCTCTTAGATAGATTAGAAGCGACGCGAGTAACCGGCGTCGTACAACTTACAGAGACTATCGGCGCGGCTCGGGAGACCGGAGTGCATGCCGGGCACCGAGACCGACACCGACAGCGCCTCCTGGTGCTTCAGCACCTGTCGGCGCCGCTGCCATACAAAGGTCCACGTTGCGATGATGGCGATTTGGGCGATCAGGAAGACGGTCCCCGCGATCACCGCCTCGCTCAAGTTGACGCACACCCCGGAGATGACCTCCTCGGCGTCCACGTAGGCCGAGTCCTTGGTCGTCGATCCGTTCGACGACTTGCCGTCCCGCTCGAAGCCGAACTTGTCCGTGATCTGGATGGTCTGCACCAGCAGCAGGTCCTCCCGCGATTGGGAGGCGTCACGACGACGGCGACGCCGCCCGAAGGAGATCACCGAGCGCAGGTCTCCGGTTGATTCTTCTTGATCGCACTGCACTGGCTCGCACGTCGGCATGCACGGCGTCACCAGGGCTCGGAATTGCACCACCTCTGAACTCGGGAATTTGAAGGCGTCGAAGTGCGACAGCAGAATCTGGGGAAGAAAAACGGAACGATAAGATTGCTAGGCGCAGTTTTTTGCAAGCCCGATATTCAGGAGAAGAAACCGGGGCTAGTTCTGGCATTTGTTTTCTAGACGATTACAGCGCTACGTAGTTTACCTACGCTACGAGTTGCTGTTCGGATCCTTTGTTTCGGAGTATTTTATGAGGTTGACGGGGAAGCTTTTTCTGATCTTTTAGTTACAGTGCTTTTTGTTTTTTCCGACGTTAAAGTCTATGTAAGACGATTTTGCTAACAGGGACACTAAGTTACGTAAACTTTCATCGCATCGTTAAGAAACGGAGTATTTTAGCTCAAATTTGGTGTAATTTGATTTTAAACGCATTCAACATAATCTATATAAAATAAGAAAATGTAAAACTGAGGCAAATGGGACCAGTTGTGACAGAGTTGAAGAGGCACGTCTTGACGGTATCACAATGAATCTGTCCTATGTGTACAAGTAATGCGTTCCAAAAATGGTTGGTACATGTTTCAGGTTGCTCATCATTGCGTTTAAAATTAATTTAATTCCAACTAATGTATAAAGTCACTTAATATTAAATCACAAAAGAAGCCATGTATTGAAAAAAATACGACGAAAAGGAGGAGGAAGGCCAATTCTATTTGAAACATGTACCACGCAATTGAATATGAATTGTCGCTGTATACCGATGTTATGGGCGAAAGTCTCTGGAAAATGAAACTATCCTCTTTAAAACTTATTATATCCTACAACCAATGTGACATGTAATCTGGTTTCAGCTCACAGCGGATTGTTCTAATTATAGCGACGAACCTCATCGGTCATGTAATTCATGGAAAGGGATCAGATCCATAAGTTGTCTGCGCCTAAAGAAGCTGGCTCTATTCCGTTTCATCAACCAGTAACTGGAATCTACCATTACTGCATTTTTCTATGAATCAAGTTCTACGTTTACGACTTTTAAATCGACCAAGTCCAGCAACCGATGCAACTTCGAAATGTCCTGACCGAACGGTCATCGGAAACGTTGCGTTTTCCTCGCACGCGATTTGCCTATTCGCACGAAGCTGAATTCATTGCGGCGCGACTTTAATGCTCGAACGGAAGCACCCTATCCTTGAGCTTTTTCATCCTTCTACAAGATATTCACGGCCGTTAATTAGGTAAGGTCGTATAACAGCAATTTTACGGAATTCATTTGCAGGTGGATGTAAGAAGTAAAGCTGGTCCGAGGCCTACATTCAACTTGCGTCTTTGAGCGTATGACGTCGCGAGCTTAAGTACTGACATTGCATGACATTAATATTACGACCCGCCGAAAAACTTTATCAGACCGATCTTGATAATGATGCAGAGATGGGCAACGAGGCACCTTCATTGTGTAATGGGCAGTGTTTATGGCTCGCCGCATCCGGTCATTTCAGATAGACTTTACTCAATTTATAGCCCAAATGTTGCTATGTTATGATTTGCAATTACGGTGTCCTGAGCAAACAAGAGCATAAGTTCATTAGGCACCCTTCCCTTTAAACCGTGGGAACGGGTAGACCAACTAATTGGAAACCAAATCATGGGGCGACTTTAATTGGGGCATGTGTTATGCATGTAATATGGCGTGCAATTTTCGTAATTACGTTTCCACGTTATAGATCAAATGGATAACCTGAATGCGCCAAAAAATCGGCAGTTCTGGTATTAGTAACTTGTCGAAATTGGCAACGAATGACTGCGAGATATTGGCAATGGTTCGATATGTTGGTAGCAGTTGGTAGTTGGAAGCTGAAGGTACCGTTTCGAAAACCGAGATATTAAGAAAAAGAGGAAAACGATGATATGACCGCCCTTAGATATTGAGTTCTAGAAATGTTGAACAAGGACGGGACATACACCGAAATCTTGTAGTTTTAGAGAATAGTGTAGATATGTTAATTGATATAATTAATCGTTCGAGTTGATAATTTTGACCTCATGTAAGTCCCCCATAAGTGAACGCACTTCCAGGTCAATTAAATATTCACTCCGAGACTTCGTATTACCATCGTTTTAGCAAAGAAGCGCATACAACACTTTTTTTGCCTTTATCCCGTTCAAATGCGAGTTTATCGATTACCAGAGTTCTAAATTGTCGTAAAATTGTCCTGACCCTTTCGATTCTCATATCAGAGCCTTCGATAATTGTATATTGATCGAAATATGAGAGCTCGACGCCATTTTGGTTCTGGTCTGGACTGAGTTAACAAATTTTGTTTAAAAATCCAAATTTTGAATGTGTCAGGACAATTCTTAGATGATCAGGTGTCAAAGTTTCGGACAGTTTGGTCCAATACCCTTAAAGAAAAGTGTTGTATTCGAATCGACTGATTTGAAGGATGTTTCACTTCACCTTAAACCTCAATGAATTCGACGTAATGAAACCCAGACATAACGCGCGCCCATAAAGGGCGTTATTAGATTAGATTACGATTTCGGCGAATGCGAGCGTCGGGATAACTTATTGTCCGCTTGTCGCACAATCCGCAATGTTTTACGGGATACCGGCCGCGTCCAGAGCGGCCTTTTTCGAGAGATACGTCGAGCCGCGGTTCCCCGGTCTTATCTTTTTCGGTCCATCAGAATGGTTTGCGGCCAATTTGAAAACGTCGTCCTGGCTAAAGCCCCGCATCGGGGAGGTTGAGTATGACGACTCCTTGAGAAATCTTTCCAATTTCATTCAAAACCGAGCGGAGGCTCGCTCGAGCTGGCCGCCGTACGTGACGAACATACGTCGCGTCGCGAATTCCCAAACGGCGGATTTCGTGCCCCACGACGTATCCGGCGGACGTTGCTTCGAGTCAACGAGTATTGACTTGTGTTCCGGAAACCGACTAGAACTCCCTCGACGGGGTCGCACCTCGCCACGGATTTATGTTTCCGGGCGCGACATCGCGGCCCTGACGGTTTATGGTCGGCCAATCGACGAGAGGTTTTCCGAGTGACACCCAACCCTGTCGACGTTTTGTCACCGAAGCCCGGCATCCCGGATCACTCTCGCGGACCGAGAATCCTGGAACGTGTTTTTTTTTCCCCGGTTACGGCCTCGAGTAGTAAATGAATTTTCTGCTATTTTATTGATTCAAATGTAGAATTATGAAATAGAAATAAATAGGGGATCGTTGCCGAATTCGTCCTGGTACCCTAGATCGTACCCATGTGTAAGTTTTTCTTATCTATTTCGTTATTTAACTGTGACATCTTTTTTTATTATCTGTGACATATAGTACTAAAACAAAAGATACACGAGATACGATCTGGTACTAGATATAAGAAATGTTAAATAACAGCAAACGAACACACGAGATACGACTTGAATAACTAGTATTCATTTGGCAAACTTCTAAGATATTTTGGGGATTTTTAAAGCACCTTGGATCTCTTTTGAAGTGAAACTTCTTATGGCATGGTAGTACATGTAAATTCGCGTGTCACGAAAGGTTTTAGTCTTCACACAGTTTGTGTAAGTCTGATTTTTACGGTTCGTTGCTAATTATGTCCATCCTTGTGTGTTAGTATTGAACGAATTTTCGTGAACGTTTTAGTTAGTGTTAGCGTGTTATTCATCATTACTAATATTTAATCATTTTTTTCTTTTAATTAGAAGTTCCACTTCGAAATATTTGTTTTGTTTAATGTTTAGTTAATTAGGATTCACGAGGAAACATGATTTAGATGAACTATACGGAGTAAAGGCAACTATCTAGTATTTAGACATTTCCATAGAAAACGGAAACGTTATTCGAAATATTGTAGCAAGTGCTTGCAAAAAAGAGGCATTTTGTATGTTGTTAGTTGATTTCGCGTATCACCGATTGTTAATTTCGTGTATCGCCGATTTGCGTATCGCAGCTTCGTTGATTTATGGCGTATCTCCGATTGTTTCTCAAGGCTCGGACAACTGAGCTTAACCCTTTCAACTTTAACGGGGTGACAAAGGAATATATGGCCTTGCCGTAATGATTCATGTGATGATACGAGACTATGAATTTCATACACCAATAATCACATCGTCAGACAATATCTACGAGACAAGAACATGAAGGTGTTCATTCTTAGCCATCGGCTACCACGTCTGGTATGCCTTCACAAATAAATTATGGTGCATTGTGCCTACTAGCCTTCTTAACATTGTCATTCCTTGAATGTCAAGTAACAAATTTCTAAAGTTTACGTTAATTCTCCTAAACCAATTGTAGTAGAGAAGAACTACCTAGAAGTACTTTTTATAGGCATGACTGACTCATTTTTTCACATAGTTTTTACTTTCAGTTTAATATTCACTGCCAAACAATGTCGCTAGCGGCGATAAAACGCGTACACGGTAGGTGCACGCAAATTGATGTACGAGACAAGAATGTTAAGACGAAAAGCACGAAAGATACGAAATTTTCACTTCTATCTCGCCGTAACAAGAGGAAATTCTGATTACCGTCCTCTTCATCCATCGGAGTAATACCATTCCACCTTAGCAAATTTCTACCTCTTTTGTAGGTGTCATTAAGCCCGCTTAAGAGAAATCACTGGTATAATGCATATAAGTATATAGTCCTGACGCCTGTGTCTCGGTATTATGCACGTGATTGTGATTATTGTATAGAAATTTGCTCGGGGCAGCGCTGCGTTCACGTAAATCACTTTGACCGCCATAATATGCCGTCAATTTACGCACACTGGATATTATCATCCTGGTAAATTAATATAATTCCGAGCCTGGAAATGAGAGCTATGAAACCGTAAGTGAAATAAACCGATACATTTTATGTTCCGAAGAAGGGCGGTATTAGGTTTCGTTCACGTGATCATCGTTTCCATTAACGTCGACAGCCATCGAAGATACTTAAGAACCGATGATCTACAATTTCGTATGAAAATGAATCTGCAATTATTATATAAAAATTCTCGTGGAAATGGGATATAAATTATTATTCAAAAATTCTCGTATGATTGAATCCTTCGAGCGTGATATTCAAATAACTCGACACTCTTGACTGTTACTCCTCTGAACGAGAATAACTCATTCAAGGTGTATTAATGATGGCAAAAACTCATCCGCCGTTGCCGACGAATGCAGACTCGTGATCGTGCATTCGACGCGCGTCTCCTCTCCTAGCGATAGTGACGTTAATCCGCCACTTATCGGCATAAATTCGTTCTTTGTTTATGCAGACGCTGTTATTACTTTCTAATAAAGCAATATCCCTGCTCTTACCGCTGGTAAACGACGCGGGGCGATGCAACTAACGAGGCGGTACCTCTTACCCTCGACTTTCATTGACTGGTTAGTCGATAGATTGTACCGTTTGCGTTTCGTTTTATTCACTTATGTCAGCCACTCGTTCAGGGGAGATTGTAGTGAAACGCGAGTAAATTACTTTCTTTGACGACCGGAACGCTAGGAAACGTTGATCATCCGTTAGGACTTCTTTCACCGCGCGGACGTGCCGAGCTCTAATCCGAGAACCGATTCCTCCCGGATTACGACGAGAGTATTTGCGGATGCTGACGAGTCTGAGGAATAACAAGAGTGCCTGGTGGTACATCTCCGATTCGATCCAACACTTTGCGACTGTTTATTGCGTATTGATGCTGCTTAAGTAGGATGCACGAGCCGATGTTTTGTCGTGGTTCTTCAAATTAAGGGGAGTGAATGACGCGAAGAAGTTACCGCGATGTATGCAAAGCACGAAGAAATTAAACGGGTTAAAGGATCAGAGTTTGAGGTCCGAGTTACCGATCATTGTGGAAAATTGTTATAGGCGCATTCTCGCTACTAACGTATCTCAATGTCTAATTCAGGAGCGCTCTCCACGTCCAGGATCCCCTCGTTCCCAAGTTCGGTCTGAGAATCGCGTTGGTCTGCCTATGGGAAACGCGCGATTATACAAATTAAGAGGGATCCCACAGAGAAGCATCGCGTCCGGACACGGAAGCTTCAAGACCGACGGCGGCAACTTCTGGGCCGCCTATGCGGAACGTGCGAAAGGCGTCATCCAGGCAGCCGAGATTACGCGTGTCGAATCGAGCGACGCCGTAAAATCCTAGCGGGCCCGGTGATTGATTGGCGCGAGAGGGCTACCGTGGTCCGACCGCGTTCCCGTTTCTCCTTTTTCCCGGATTTTCTTGCCCAGGGGACGTGGCCGTTACCGGCCGTATGGTTATTCGCGAGGTTCGCGCGGATGACAAATCGCCACCCGCGGAAGGCCACGTCCGATATCGGGTGGACACGGCCTCGACCTTGAGGCCGTGACTGACAGCGCTTTAACGGAGTGTGGTGGTAACATCCAAGGCGACTTACCTTGCCGGAAGTGGCCGACTTGTAGAGCGGTCCCATGATGACTTGGTCCGTGGGGCAGCCGTCGGAGTCGATAAGAACGATCTCGCTGGAGTCGACTCCGTCCATGGCGACGAGCTCGCGGACGAAGATCTCGTAGGGGCTGCGTGGGTCGAGGATCTCGAATTTGAGGGCCAGGGGGTCGCCCACCTCGGCGGAGGGCACGGCGTCGCTCCCGCTGCGGTCGGTGATCTTCATGGCTACGTTGGGCGAGTCGACGATCACCTCTTCCGAGAGGGCGGGGGTGATGTCCCCGTGCACCCCGAGATCAACCTCGTTTGAGACGGTCTTGTTGGTCAGATCGTATTGGCAGGTTACCGCCAGGCCCAAGTCGGAGCTGGTAACGATGGTGTCGTGATGCTGGATGACCACGTCGTTCAGGTAGCGGCCGAGACCCTGCTGCCTAACGTTGCACTCCAGGTCGTCGTAGGCCATTCGCAGCTCGAACTCCAGGGCGCCCTTCACGTCCTGCACGCACGAGTTGGGCGACCCTTTCGCGTAGACCTTCCCGTTGAAGAGCTTACTCGTCTGGATGCGCGCCACCATGTCGCCGGCCCGGCAATCGATGCTGACGTTGTAGCAGGAGCTCAGCTCGTACGTGGACGCCTCCGGGACGTCGAGGTAGGGTTCCTGCGGTAACGAGAAGAAAACGCTTGACGCCCCGACGAGACACGGAGATAAAGAGACCGAGAGAGCCAGACACCGTCGGGTTCTTCTCTCGTACCTCCCACCGTCGACCGACCCGACTGCTTGCGTTCATGCTCGAACGAGCGACAACGGGAGGCCTCAACAGGTTGGCGTCGACGCTCCCACCCACGCCTAACCCTTTTGTCTTACCAACTAGCGCTCCATGGAGAATAGATACAAACCGACCGAATTAGCATGCAAGAACTCCTTTGGCCTCGCGTTCGCCCGGGATGCCGCGAGCGATCTCCGGCTGATAACATCGCGGACGACACCGATGGTCGGATCGCTCTCCAGAAAAAAGCCACCGTTTCTTTCCGGACGTTGCTTTAATTACCACGTCCTTTATACCTAACATTTACCCTCGAGCTCTCCCGACTGACTTATCCGCGTCGTCCACTCGTGTATAAGCATAGAATAGAGGAATTATGACGTTACTCCGAAAATGGATTAGTTTCAGAAAACTGGAACGCTTCCGGGATCGTGGTTCTTCCATTCGGTGTCGTTCAATATTTAACTGAGCCCATTTCATCGAAACCGTGAAACAACGGATCGGTGATCGGTTTCGTAAAGATGCCACGTAGCCTGCAGGTGTTCCTGGCATTCCGTTATCGCCCCTTTCCGAAACAATCTCCAGACACCTCACTTACCTGAATGTCGGAGAGAGTGGCCCTGGAGTGGTGGCTGAGTCGGCACACCATGTCGCCGGTGTCACCATAATCGTACGAGTGGCATCTGTAGGGCGAGTTAAGGCACAGCTCGCGACACTCCTCGGCGGTTCCGATCTCCTGGTAAACCGAGTCGACCGTCTTCAGGATGCGGCCGTTCAGCTTCTTGAACTCGCAGAGCTTGACCGGCTCGTCCACGCAGTGGTTCTCGAGGTATTCCGTGCCCTTGGCTGCCTGGAAGGCGTTCGATCCGGCCACGGTCAGTCTGTCCATGTCCGAGAGTTCGCACTCCTTCGTGGCGTTGACGTAGTTAGCGGATCTGAAGCAGGAAAGAAAGACCAAGCTGTAGAGCCCAGCGGGAGGCACGGAGCGACTACGCTTCTTTTACCGCGAATCCCGTAACTAGCTTCTTTCTTTGCGCGAGATCCAACTCCTAGACCGTGAACGATCCCAGAAATCGTTACGCGAGAACCTTCCTTACTTAGGACGGCGATGGTTACGGCCACGAGAGAGACGGAGAATGAGGAAACGTTCCGCCGACGACGGTCTACCGCGAGATCTCCGTCTTGCTCCTTCATGGACTCTACGTTGCCTTACCATGGCTAAATTGAATTTCGAATATATAGATCAATTTGAAAATACTACTACTTGGATATCAATCCAATCCCCCAGCGTTTCTGAACTCAGCATCGCACAGTCTGGGATGGGTATGAAAAACATAAAAAATTGAGTTTCGAATTTGTTACCCTTCAGTTTTAAATCAGTAGAAGGTTAATATTTTCACAAACTTGGCGGTTGTTTGCCAATAATTGGTTATGCTTAAGATATCGGATAAATGTGTGACGAGATATTCCAACGTTTGATTGTTTACGTTTTCGAGGACCAACGACGTCGATGGTTGGCCCTCCCCGCGTCCCTCTCTTCCCGATTTTCGAGGACCTTGGTCGAACTCTAAAGGAGAGGGCCCTCAGTAGTTATCGGATCATCGTCGTAAACGGACTACGGGCCGAGTTTTTCGATCCTTTTACCGCGAGTGCAAGCGTCGACGCCTCGACGGCATCGGACCTCGCCGTGCCCTCGACATCCGGGAAATTCTACGGCCTCCCTGTAGAATAAAGGATCTTACCGTAAAGTAAGTCAATTGATCTTTCCTCATCCCTTCCCCGATGCGAACTTCTAGCCCCCCCCGTGCCAAATCGAACCCGGACCCTCTCCAGAGGACTGCAGCCGGCCGTGGCCCGGAAACAGACACCCGGAATCGTTCTCGATCGACGTCTCCGTCGAGACGCCTGGCGCCCAAATCGGTCCGCACGTGGCCGCCTGTTCGAGGACCGTGCCGTTTCGCGATCCCGACACTCGAAACTCCCACAGGGCGTCCCCGAACTATTGTCGACGCGGCATATTGCCCCGACACCACGGCACAAATGTTACATCTGGCTTCGTAATTTTATATGTAATTTTTTTTATGACGGATAATGTAGCCGGGGAAACCTCTTTCGCGCTTCCATTGTGAAGCGAAAAACTGCATTTCTGGATTTAGACTCTCGTGGGGAAGAATGGATGGGATTTGGGGGAAGAACACTCGAGGATGCCGTGACTTATTGTTAGGCAAGTGGCAGCCCCACGGAAATCAATTCTTCTCTGCCTTTCGAGGAAGGCTGCGCGTCCTGAAAGCTCTTGGCGACATTATGTAAAGGTCCGATAATATGCGAGCCGACCACCAGCGAGCCATCCATTTTTCCCTGGGCCACCCTTATTTTGGACTTAGCCGCCTTTTCATCGGGAGCGCTCCTAATATACGTCCAGAGTAATGAAATCGAAGCGGGCTCCCCTCTTTCTCCCTTGCCACCTTCTGCGCGCAATTAATCTTCACTGCCATTTCCGCGAGGGTGACATCGCAGGCGATTTTTGCCGCTCGTGCCGCGGGAGAGAGTAATTGGACGTCGGAGGAGGGTAGATCCGTGCACCGGCAAAGAATTAGTTGGTGGCGTCGAGTAAGGTGTAATTTGTTATCAGAATGAAAAGCTGCTCCTACCGGCGCGGGTAATCTCATCGAGAGGACACTCTTATCGGATGATCGTCCCTGTCGGAATCTCGCGCAATAAAAGTATAACGTGGAAGAAACGGTGAATGAGAAAATAGCTAATATTCACCCCGATTTCTTTAATTTTTACCCTCCAAGGAAGTGGAAAAGCAACTCCACAGAATAATATTCATGTATTAGGTAATCCCTAAATTTCTGTCATTTTCTGGCAACTGTTCTTGTCGCATTACTGACTTTCATAACTTTACATTACTGACTGCGAAATCGACTTCAATCGAAGTCGATCCTTCAGCGCTCTGTTTGTGAAGTTACCTAACGTCCACCTACAAAAACTACAGAACTCTTGAAATGACTTGCTGGATACACAAATTGAAACTACGATTTCTTAATGACTGCGGGACCGTTTTACCCAAATTCCTGCGTTAAAAATCCCATACTGCATCACCACTAGTCCCCAAAAATCGATTACATTATTTACATCCAATTCCCAAAAATATCCACGAAGAGCGTCCGATGAATCATGGCCCAAAAGATGAATTCGAATTGATTCCGCTAATTCTAAGAGACTCGTTCTGCCCGATATCATCCATCCACTTTTCTTATCCACCGTAAGATCCAGTGAATGACCGTGTCACTTCTCATTAACACGAGATGCACCGGAACATTCGTTTGCTCACGCTTATCGCAACATTGAGCCACTCCAGCCGAGTACTATCGTAATACGTGAGTCCTGTCGCATGTGGCGGCACATTTCATACGCACGCGATTGCAACTAAGCGGAAAGGAGGGTTTTTAGGCACTCACGCGATGGTTTTCATTTTCTACGTACGCCGATGCCCACCATCGTCGCCACCTCCACCGCCAGGTCGGACGCGACAAAAAGGCCCGCGAGAGGAAGCGCTCCGCGGAATGACTTTCGACCGCACTTTATTACGCCGTAATAATGAGTGGTTAGTGACGTGGTAAACGGAACTAATCAAAGAACAATCGAGAAGATGCTAATTTACCAACATTAACCGGCAGTCGTATAAACCCTAATGGAAAGTACGGGGTACCAGCGCTTATGCACCGCACTGCTATGGTTCACAGGGACGAACCATAGCAGTTTTGCTCTTATAAAAAGCCAAGTCACGACTGCGCCTGTATATTGTACTACGCACTGTTACACAGCATAAACATTTTTAAGGAGCCCCGCGGACTGTACCGAGATATTTCCTACACCCTTCAATTTGTACCGAACCTTTTCTTCGAGCGGAAATCATTGTCCGTTTCCAAGAGAGTCCGATTGGATTGTAGATTGCGAACTAGAACTAGGCACAGTGCTCGAAACATTAGTGGGGGTGACGTTGCCGTTAAATATGCAATTACTTTCTTATAGGTCTGTATTTATTCACCTCCCGATGGAATTTTCAATTTCTCTTCTGCACCTCACGGTCATTTACGGGTAAAAAGTGATTTATTCCGCGTAATTCCCTAAACTATATTATCTCCTTTACATGGAATAGTTTAGAAATCTCTTCGTCTTTTGAAAATTCTCTTTACATTCTCGAGTGTAAATTATTATTTCTCATTTTCCTCATTCGCTAAGAATATAGGTGCTAGGGTGCACGTGATTGCTCAAGCGCATTGAAGTCTTGTTCGTCACCGAACTTATATTTAAGCCAGTTGATGGCTGATTGGGCAGATTTACTTTGCGTCGCTTTATCAGTTACGAATTATATTAAGACCCTAAGACCGAAATAATATTCATGAAGGTGCTCCGGGGCTGAGACGATAGAAGTTCAATATTCCGACCACGGAAGGGAGACTCCTAAGACCAGTCGGGTCGGGAGTGGTTCCCAGCATGCCAGAGATGCAGTGCACAATCACGGCCCCACCTTGTCAGTTCCGAAGGGGTTCGACACATTGACAGTGGATATTTATTTATATCTACACATTACTTGCGATTTTCTCAATTCTAGACACGTTTCTATTCCTCACAATATTAAAAACTGTGTTTTCTTTACTTTTTGTGCTTGACGCGTTGTACGACTTTACGTACGAACAATATTTTAATGTTTTTACACGAAGGATACGAATAATAAATAATTAATAATATATACTAAGAATAAATTCCCATGTTTCACTGTTAGTATATATATATTCTTTTTTGTTTCAGGTAAGTCTATGGCATTATACAAAGGATTACAAACCCCGAAATGGAAAGCAGACGTTGTTGCACAGTTCCAATGGTATCAACAGATTTCAAAGGTATTTAAAAGAACAGTTTCGCATCTGGGCAGGGGTTAATGTTTCATGGCAGTTTTAACACATTTCATTTTTTACCGACACATCATTTTATTTCTTAAATCGATTGCGAGTTATGGAAATAATTGTTAATGAAATCTGATTAAGCCACGAGCAGTGGTTATTAGTAGAGGAAGACCGTGAAAAGGATACGTTGAATTATAACCACGCATTTGAGCAACGAGGTTCCATAAAGAGCGCACTTCTAACGGCAAGACACCCGCGCAGAAAACGGGAAACATTTTTACCGATAAATCTGGACGGTGGTTGTTACAGTCTCGATAAAGGCATATCTCAATCTCGAATCTTATGATCTTTCCTCTATCGTGGGAAACGCTATGTACCGTGATCAGCGAAACAGAAGTTGCGAATTGTGGGTTCGGGACCTAGGGCAAAACCTCTGCGCCGTTCCCTGAATATGCAGCTAGGAACAAGGAAGAAGCCGGAATGTCTAAAACGTTAGGATCAGTCTAAAAAGGATTGGGAATGAAAGTTCGAGCGAAAGGGAAGAGAGAGGAACGGCTCATCTTTCTCTATTTGGCGGGCAACCAACCTGGTATCCACGTTTCGAGGAAGGATACCAGACAAATACCAAAGAGAAATCCCTTACCGAGAAAACGGGAATAACTTTCCATCTCGCGTATTTTGAGCTTCTCTCCGCTCGGTCGGCGATAACGATAACAGAGTTTGGCATCTCTCGGGATCGTGAATAGGGGGTTCGATGCCGAAGTTGGAGTTTAGCAGCCAAATGAAATTCGATCAGCCTCGCTCGGGAAGGCACTAAATATCGGGAAAGTGAATTTGCGGGGGCGGCGACGTAAGAGACGCATACAGAGAGGAAGCGACGCCGTCGCTACCTTCGGTCCCACACCTTGGAGCGTCTTCTGCATCATTGGAAGCCCTAGTCCTCCGTGGTCGGGGCTCTGGTGTTTGCGAGTCGCAGGTTCGCTATCGAGGGTACCGCCTCGCGACCGCGGAATAGCTCACCAAGCGATTCCGCGAAAACGCAGGAA